ATGTTCATGGATTTCTTAAAGTACAGCAGATGAAAAATAATTAGAATGTTGTAATATATTAAATCACATAGGCAAGAGTGATGACACTGCCAAGTAGATCTGCTGCATTTTGCTCTTCCTCTGAAAAACTGGGCTGTACCAGATACTAACCAGGTATAAGGTGCACTTAAAAAAAGGATTAAGGAAGGGATAAGTGGTAATAGTTGACTGCTGGTTTTTACATGATAATATCTCTTCAGTGCTGTAATATACCTCCTGCAGAAGCTATTGTTACTACAGAGACTGTGGTCACTACTGACAATGTTCAGGAGCAATGTTTAAAAGAAACAAGCCCCAAAACTTTGCTGTGCTAGAGGTCTGGCTAGCATGCTGACTGTGCTTGGTAGTAGATGAATGGAGAAGAGAGAAGTACGGGGGGTGTGTGTGTGTAGAATAATGTTCCTCCTGTGTGCCTTTCCAGATCTTACTGGTCCAGAGATGTCCTGCATCAGATTTGGGTTGCTTCCTGCTGTTGAACCTCTCTTTTGTGCATTTATCTTCATTCTTTCCCCTCATCTGTTTGTTTTTGACTTTTACAACAGCTTATTTTTAAATCAGTTGGGGTTAGGGAAGAAGGATCCTAAATTTTCACTTACTGAAGTTGGATAGTTTCTTGTCTCTTGAACTGAAGGCATAAAGAAGTCTTTCTTCATATCTGAAAATCACTTAGGATTTTGCAAGTGTCGCTCATCTGCCAGCAGCAGTTCTGTGACCAATTTAGCTGTGCTTGGGAGTGGAGAGGAACAGCTCAGCCTGTGACTGGAGAGCACCCGTCAGCACTTCGCTCAGCTGCGAGGAGGGAGGTCTTCACCAGGGAGTGCGAACTGAGACTGCTGCCTCCCAAGCGGCGTTGGGCGACAGCGGTGGGAAGCGAGTCAGAGCTGCTATGTGAAGCTGCAGAGCAGTGTCATAGTGTGCTTGCTGACTGGAAGTGCCTGAGAGAAGGCTTAGCACAGAACAGCTGTGGCAAATGGGTTTTGGCACAAAAAGCGTAGGCAGGAGAGCAAGTGGCATAGACAAGGTATCTTGACAGGTTTTGGGGGGTAGCCAGGGTTAAGTGCAGTAGCTTGCTTTAGAGTTATTCAGACACTTACAGAAAATGTGTTGGTTTGGATGTTTCAACAAACTTAGTTTTTCGCTTCCCTATGTAAAAATAAGGGAATTAATTCAGGTGACATGGAATACCTTTGTTACAGTAGGACCTTGTAGAATAAAGTGTAGCCTTAATTGTCTCTTTGTAACATTTTTTCTAGACTGTATCTTTCAAAATGCACCTTAGAAAATCAGTGCAATATTTTCTAGCTGTTTTCCCCCAGGAGAAACTTGATTAAATCCTGCATTTTTTTTGAGCATCCCATTTCTGTTGAACTGTTTATGGTTCAGTGATGATGAGTCAAATCTAAATGTTCTTCCTGTGCTTTTCTTTTCCTGAGCTCTCCTGAGACATTGCATCACTCTCACTCGCATGATGTTTGTGTGACTTCAGCAGGCTTTAACTGCAAGGAAGATGGGGGTGTGTTGTCTAGTAACATGTCACTCAGCCCACTGAGGGTCTGATTTTGATTGTGACAGGCAGGCTATTAGAGTAAATTACCATAGTCTTTGAGTACTTATGTTCTAATTGCTCAACTGGTTCTTCAAGGTCATTCAGGTGAAATCAAGAAGTGTTTTTTAAGCTGTGATTCTCACTTTCTTCCTGCTTTCTGGTACGAATTATACTGTGCCAAGATGGTGTATGCCTTATTTTCCAGAAAATTAACATTTTAGAGAGGATGAATTAGTGTGAAAGCAGCTTGCAAGAAAAACAGTAACTTCTTTTCCATTGTAAATAACATTTATAGGAAGACCAGAAAGATTCCCCCACCCCTTTCCATTGTGATGAAGAGTGAGTGCAAAAATTCCCATGTTCCTGATCCATGGCAGCCTTCCTTCTGGCGCTTAGCTTCACAGGAAAGGTTTTTAAAATATAAAACATTAAAATCATCAAAAAGGATACTCAGGACCATAAAAATAGTTTTTCTTTAATTTAAAAAAAAGTTAGGATTGTCCAGAAGTGACAGCTGTCTGGGTGGTCACTTACACTTTAAATCTCTGCACATAGAATTGTATCTGTCAACATATGGCCCAGTAACTAGATCTTGTGCCATTCTCCTGTCTCTTTAAGAACAATTTAGTGCTATTAGTTAACTTTGTCATCTCGACCACTTTCTTGCTACAGACTTTGGATGACTGCAGTTTCCTAGATCTCCTTTGAAAACTTAATAGATAAATATTAGAAGAAAAATAATCATCTGCTCCTCTAATACTGGTGAAGTATAAAGCAAGCATTAACATACTCTTGGCTGAATGTCATCTGCTCTCGGTGGTTTGCTAATTTTTGAGTTGTCCATTTGTTCCATACTTTTTCTCTAGCAGTACTTTGCTTTGAAACAGACCCTTTAATCCCTCTTCCATAAAGAAGCCTTTCACTGGAAGAATATCTTTAAACTCCTCCATAGTGAACGTGAAGATGCAAAAAATAAATCTGGTGTTTCTGCTGTGACTGTAGCTTGTTTGAACACTTTTTTAGTGCATCTATTTATTTACTTACTTTAGCCTGACAGATCCTGACAGACTACCTAACTCTGCCTTAAAAAAGGATCTAGTTGTAGTTTTTATACTTTTCTTCCTTCATTAAATTGTTTGTGAGATTGTATCATTGTATTTTTTTTCCCGTTTTTAGCTTGCTATTGTTTGAGCCCCATTTGGACAAATTCTAAAAGATTCTTCTCATGTTTTCTCTAGTATGTTATTTAGCCATATCCTTCCCTTGCCTGACGTGTTGGTGTTCACCCCTACTTTAAGTCGTCTTTGTGACTTTTGTGTTTGCTCTAAGCCTCATACAATGTCTTAAATCTCATTGCTTACAGACATCTGATTTTTTGATTATTCTCTTTAAGTTTCCTCCTATTTGTCTCGTTCCTTTCTTTATATTCTTTGGTGTTACTCCTTTAGATATTTCGGTCAGTACTAAATTCTGAGGGGTTTACACTAATATTTTGAACCAAATTCTTAGGACCAAAAGATGTCTTTTCTTTTGTTAGTAGCATGACAACTCTTTCCGTGAAGCTGTCACTCCTGATGTTCAGTATTTTGCCTTGACATCCTGTGACATTTAGTGGATAGCAGAAGCCTCCCACTGTTTTTTGTCTTTGCTTTTGAAACGTTTCTGACTGCCTTTGTCTTGGTCACTCAACATCTGCATGTTTAATGTGATGGCTCCTACATTTCTTGTTATCACTGTCCTAAATGTAGAGAAGGTAAATATGCTCCCTTAATAAACAGATAAAGTTTTTGGATAAATTTGTCTTTTTTGAACTTTCTCAGAAAAAAAAATCTGCAGATAGCAATTTCATTCTAAACTTTCTTACTGGTTTCTCTGTTATTGAATGCACGTCAATGCCGATAACCAGTGGACCTCCGGTACTGGAGGATTTATTTTCTTGGTGAAGAAGACTTTCTTTAATTTGAAAGACTTGTTCTTTTTTCTACTTCCTGCAAAGTGACTGAATAAAAATAGGGAACTTGTTCCCAACTGGCATTTTGCTCCCATGATTTTAGATCCGAGACACTTGAATTGCATATGAGGGTTTTTTCGTAAATACCCACTCTTAAAAGTTAGCATAGGGTATGTCAGTGAAGTTGTGCGGTGTCTTATTTGTATCTTCTCTAGCAATGATTTGAAGATCATGTTTTATCCTCTACTTTGCGTTTGAAAAATCCTGCT